ATTTCTTCTGTGACCCATTGGTTGTTCAGGAGGTTGTTGTTTAATTTCCAAGTGTTTATGGAGTTTTTGGAGTTCCTTTTGTCATTAATTTCCAATTTCATTGCACTGTGGTCAGATAATATGCATGGGATAATTTCAATTCTTTTGCATTTCGGAAGGTATGCTCTGTTACCTAAAAGCTTTTACAGGGAAGGAAACTTCAAGTCCCCAGCAAGTTCTGAGATTCTGAAGGAATGTTTGCTGTGGATTTTTAGTATCACTGAAATGAAGGAAAGTGATAATCAGATAACTGATATCAGACACTGATAATCAGAACTAATGCTCAGGGGAGTAAGTGAGCTGCCCAATATTACATAGCCAGGGTGAGGTAAAACCAATTGACCTCAAAACTGCTACAGCCCCCAGCTAAAGAGCTGTTTGGGGCTCCCTAGAAGACAGACCGTCCTCAGCTTGTACTTCCCATTCCTTGTCCAGGTGACAGTCTGACCTACGAGATGAGGAACAGGAAGAGTGAGGAGGAAGAGGAAGCCATGAATGAATGGGTTGAAGTAATAGAGAAAGTGCTACCTCTCTCCCTCATCACCACCAAAGGAGGCATAGAGTCTCTGGTTTCTCTTTGTTCCGCTCTCATTGAAGAACAAAAGAAAAGGTCACAAAGTAGGTTCCTGGAGGCTGGGAGGGGAAAGGGAGGGGCTGCTGTATACTGGCTCAGGGAAGAAGGTATGGACTGGGTCTGTAGGAGGTTTCCAACCCTCCCTTATAGCAAGTACAGCCAGGCATCGTGATGCATGGTGACACATGCCTTCCTCCCAGCACTCAGGAGGCTGAGGCAGGAAGATCACCGAGTTCAAGGCCACTACTATGAGCTACATGGCGAGACCCTGTCTCAAAAAACAAAAAAAAAGTACAAGAGAAAAGTACAACTGGGGGCAGCATGAGGGCCAGGGTGTTGGACCCAAACTGAGCACTGAGCAGTTCTGAGCTAGCCCTCCAGGCAGAGCTAGACAGGCGGTGGAGACTGCGCCTGGAGCTGCTTCCAAGAGCTGGGCCTTGTGTGCATTGAAGGCTAGAGCCTATGGCGAGAGCCCAAGGAACACCCTTTCTCACTCCACACCTACCAGCTGCGCTGCAGCCTCTTCTGAGGCTCAGCCACAGGCCCCTCTGGAGTCTTCCTGACCACCCTACTCCCAAGGTCGCAGCTTGCCCTTCCCAGTCCTACTCCCAAGGTAGCCTCAGCCAATAACATGGCTGAACCCTGGAATTTTACTTCTCTCAACACTATAAGTGGCCTGAGATGATCTAATTCCTCATTGTGTATGTGAGAGCATTGATGGTTAGAGAAGAGAAAGGTACCACAAGAAAGCTCATGGCAAAGCCAGGCCCCACATCTACGTTAGTTTTACTCAAGAGCACTCTTCCAATTTCTGGCTATGTGACTTTTGGCAAATTACTTTATCTCCTGGAGCCTCCTGATACATAAAATGGAGAGAAGCCAGGCATGGTACTGCATGCTTGTAATCCCAGCACTCTGGAAGGGTGAGGCAGGAGGATTGCAAGTTTGAGCCTAACCTGGGTAACTTAATGACTTAGGGAGACCCTGTTTCAAAAAAAAAAAAAAAAAAATGGAAACAGGAAAATGATTACTTGTAGGGTTGGAGGTGGCTTCTACAAGGTATTAAGTGTCTGATGCCTGGTTTGGAACATGCTCAGGATTTAATAAACACTAGCTTCTGAGCATGGTGGTACATACCTGTAATCCCAGAACTCAGGAGGCTAAGACAGGAGGATTAATTAAATCTTATGATATAGATGCTCTGATTAGCACCATTTTTCAGATGAGGAAACTGAGGCACTGAGAAGTTCAAAAATTTGCCATGGGAAGTGGGAAAAATTAAGTTTAAATCCAAGTTATCTGGTCCTAGAATCTAAACTCTGTACTACTTACTGAGCCATAGGGCAAAACTAGCTAGATACCAGCTTGACCTCAGTATCACATAATTTCCAGATCTCTTCTAGCCCCTTCCTTGTCCAAGTTTAGCTACTGTGGTTTTCTGCCAGTGATACTCATTGAACAGATGCTCCAACATGATCCCTCCAGCAGCCCTATGAATTGTAGGTCTAGGGGCAGAGGACTGTGATTGTGACCAGCCCTTGAAGAGTTAAAGTCTGTCAGTGAGGTTGAACACAGCACACACAATCTGTGCTTAGTACACTTTACTGGGGAGAGGACCTGCTGCTTTCATCAGAATATCAAGGAAGCTGTGACACTCCTCCCAAATGGAAAAAGATGTTAGTCTTTGTTGTGATGATAGTGGTGGTACTGGATTTCAAAATCAGCAGCCTTCAAACTGAGCTACATCCCCAACCCTTTTTTTATTTTGAGACAAGGTCTCACTAAGTTGTTGAGTTGCCCAAGCTGGGCTCAAACTTTCAATCCTCCTGCCTAAGCCTCCCAGAGTGGTGGGAGTGCATGTGCCACCGTGCCTGGTCAAGACCTTAGGCATTCGTTCATTCATTCATTCAATCATTCATTTCATATTGGGGGATTGAATCCAGAGCCACTCGAATACTGGCCTTCATCCCCAATCGCTTTTATTTTTACTTTTTTTCTGAAAACAAGTTTTATTTAAGTAAGGACTTAAATACATTACATAATTTAGTTCTTTATTTTGAGGCAGGGTCTAGCTAAATTGCTTAGGCAGGACTTTGTATCAGTCAGGGTTTTACTAGAGAAACAGATATAACACAAGACACAAATGTATAAGAAATGACAAGATTGGCTTGCGATGGTCAGCCACAGAGTTGGGTGAGGAAGTGTGCAGAGGGTACTTTTACACTGGAGACCAAAGGTTTCAGCCCAGGGCCTGGTACTCACTACAGTGACCCATGTGAGTCCGTATCACGAGGCTCACAGGTCTGCAATGGAAGGCTGAACAGCCTACACTGGAAGGCTAAAGAGTCTACACCAGAAGGCTGAAGGATCTGAGGCAGAAGCCAAAGTGTCTGCATTGGAAGCACAGTGATGACATACAAGCTGAAGGTGAAGACTGGAGATCCTTTGATGAACAGAAGCAGCTCCGTCCTTCCTCATTCCCTCTTTGTACATCTAAGCAATGAGCCGCCCCAGGCCAGGTCCTGTATACCCTAGGATATAGAATTGCTAAACTGACTTACTTAAGCTTCTAAACTTCCCATGCTGACACAGTCCACTATTACAAGGGCCGGGTGTGATGGTGCATATTGGGAGGCTGAGGCAGGAGGATTGCTGCCAGTTGGAGCCCAGCCTGGGTTACAAAGTGAGTTCAAGACCAGCCTGAACTGCATAGCAAAACTCTGTCTCATAAAGACAAAAAATTAAAAATACTTTAAAAATCAACTATTATAGACTTGGATTTGAAATCCTCCTCAGTCTCCCCAAGAGCTAGGATTATAGGGACATGCCACCACATGCAGCTATCATTTTTAGAAGGAAAAAAGGCGAACAGCTGTTGGATTGTGATAAATCTCTATAGGCACCTATAGGCCCAGCCCAGGAGTAACACCTACAGCCCAGGAGTAACATGTAAGGGAAATGAATTTTCTGAGTGGGCTTAAAGAATTTGGGAAATGGCTTTAGGGACCCAAACAAAGATATTCAGCTGGGAAGGGGCACGGTTAGAAAAATAATAATTTCGCTCCAGGAAAAATTGAGGGTCAGGAGTATGGATGGTTTGTTTGTTTGTTTTCTGAGACAGGGTCTCACTATGTAGTTCAGGCTGGCCTCAAACTCATAGTGTGGTGACTTTCCTGCCTTAGCCTCCTGAATGCTGGGACTACAGGTGTGTGCCGCCACATCAGGCCAGTGGTGTGCTGAACTGAGTCAAATTGGAGTGACCCCTCTGGGCTCTGCACGTGCTGTGGAGCTAGAAGACCTGCAAGCTCAGGCTCAGCAGAATTCTCTGGGACAGACAGCCTCAGCCCCTTATTTTTGCCCAATCCAAAAAGGATTAGATGATAATTTTGGCCAAGTAGGGTCTGGAGAATCGGTATAATTCTTGGGATTCATGGGAATGTGTTGGCTTTTTTCCCCTCTGCCTCTCCCAGTGCCCAAACACATCTTCTGGCAGGGCTGGTGGGAGAAAAGCCCACAGAAATCTTCACCTCATCCTCAGCCACTGAGCCCAGAACAGATGCTCCAGGACAAGCAAGCCACCTGTACGAAAGTCTCCGAGGTGACATCCATGTTGCAGGAGCTCCTGGACTCCACCATGTTCAATCAGGGAGAGGTCAAGGCCATCAAGTACATGTTAACTGTAGTAGAGAACCTCAACAAAGCCTTGATCCTCCAGCACAAGGAGAACAGGAACCTGGAAACCAAATACAAGTGCTTGCAGATAGAGATGGCCACAGAGCTCAGCACCCAGAGGCTGCACTTCCAGAAGTCCATCCAAGACCTTGAGGGCAAGAGGGATGCTCTCCTAAAGCAGGTAGCGATTCTAGGTGGGAAGTGCCATGACCTTGTTCTGACAAAACATGCCCTAGAGTTCCAGTTGAAGAAGATTCAGATTGCTAGAGGTCCAGCTGGAGATCCAGCTGAGGTGTCTCCGGACTCCCCAGCCGCCCCTGAGGAAAAAACCCTTCCACAAACAGGAGCAGTCATGGAGGAAGCCCAACAGCAGCCCAGGGAGGAGGAACACTTGTTTTTACCACTTTCCTCAAGTCCCATGGCCAGAGCCTGGGACAGTAGGGTGACACCTTTAGCATGCCTGTCGCTCTCCACGATGAGTGTGCATTCAAGGACCACAGACGTGTCCTTGAAGGACACCGAGATCCTTGAAGATCACAAATTTCCTACAAAATGGAAGAGACTGGTGGCAGAAGGCCCAGTCCACAAAGATAAAAAACAAGGGGACCACTTCCCAGAAAAGGAAAGAGTCCAACTTAAGCTGCATTTTAGGAAGCACCTGTCCCCAGGGAGCTCCGGAGAGGTGCTCTTAGAGAGCCCAGTGGGGCACTGGGAAGAGGAGCTCTGCTGGCAGATTCGGAGGCAGCAGTGGCTACAGGAGGAGGAAATGTGGCTGCAGCGGCATAGGGAGTGGGCCCTGCTGGAGCAGGAGCACCAGGAGAAGCTGCGGCGATGGGAGATGGAGGCAGCTACCAGACTGCAGCAGCAGACACTCGCCTGGCCAGAAGAGGAACGACAGCGACTGAGGAGGGAGCCGATGGGGCCGAGGGAAGACACTGAGAAACTGATCTTCACAACCACCAATCAGCGGAGGAACTTGGAAAAGGCAGAGCCTCCCCCAAGCCGGACCCAGTCTGCTTGCCAAGCAAGGAGGCCATCATTGCCCAGGTCCTCCCATCCCCAGCAGCCGGGCCCAGGAAACCAGAGGACCATGAGTTCAACCGAGTATACCCACATGCCACAGGCCAGCCGTGTTCCCAGCAAACCCAAGAAATCCACCTCCTCTCCTGTCACTGGGACATCCATCCGAAGGGTGACTCGGCCCTCGCAAAGACCTCCGGTCACCCCTAAGGAGAAAGTGTACCACATGGGCATGGAGGCCCAGAGGAAGAACCTGCAGCTCCTGAGTGGGGAGCCCAGGCTGGGGCTGCCACATTACCTGCACAGCAAGGCCTTGGAGCTCACCACCACCACCATGGAGCTGAGTGCGTGCAGGCTACCATACCTGTGTCACAAGTATGTCCTCTATAGACACTTTCGGAGCCTCCGGTAAGTGCCCTGACCGTCCCCTGGCACCCCACACCCTCTGCAATATGGGGGCAGAGCCAAAACCCAGTGGGAGAGGAAGGGTACAGACAAAGGGCACTAGAGAGAACCACCCAGGTCTGGGCCAGGCCTCCTGAAGGAGGGACAAGCAAAAGCCACCTGGCTTCTGGCCCTTGAGTGATCCTAGGTGTGGGGAGCAGGGCGTTTACATGCTTTTCTCCTTGAAATGGGCTTTCTCTCCAAGACCGCATCCCCATTTCTTCATTTCCTATTACTCTGTCTATAAACTCGCCTAATACATGGCCACACATTTGCTTGACTTTCTCTTCCTGTTTCCACCTCAGCCTGGAGGCTCCTTATCTGATACCACTTCCACTTCCCTGCTCCCTATTTTCCCCAGCTCTCACCAACCTCCATTTCTCTTCTTGCCCCCAGGAATTACAGAGAACAGACTCATCTCTAGAGGGAGGTGACGGCTCCTCCACCTCCTAAATTGCTTCTCCTCTCTTCCCAGACAAGCAGTGATCAACCACATGCAAGTCATGGGAGAAACGAGGGCGCCCAATGCGGCCCAGAGCCTCCAAGTCCTCCTGGGAAACATTGACCGCCAGCAGAGGCTCAGGCTGCAGGCCTGGACGGACAAACAGAAGGACCTGGAGGAGAAGCACAGGGAGTGCCTGAGCAGCATGGTGACCATGTTCCCCAAGGTGCTTGGGCGAGCGGGGGTCATCCCAGCCAGCAGGGAGGGCCAAGAAAATGAGCCAGCAGGGCTGTGGGGTGGGGCTGAGGAGGCAGGTGAGAAATACGAGAGCAGGTTAGAGCCACTGACCCAGGAAGAGCTGAAGGCAGGATGTGGCCTGAGTGTAAGGGAGGGCAGCTTCCCAGTCTGCATATATGGGGAGAACAGGCAAGAGAGGGACCCTTCAAAGACAGCCAGGAAGAGAAGACACTTCTAGGGGAGCTGGATCCTGCAGCTGTGCGGTTCTTTGCCTGCTCTTCTCAGTTCTGGTTACTCGCTAGATGTGGGACACAGCTGTTGTCTTCACTCCCTTTCTGGAGATTCACTTTGTTTCCCCCTGGGGTTGCTCTTTTGCTTTCTAGATGCTGGGTCTCATCTTTGTTTTGTTTTTTGAAACAGGGTCTTGATATGTAGTCCAGGCTGGCCTTGAACTCACTGTGTAACCCAGGCTGGCCTTGAACTTGTGGCAGTCCTCTTGCCTCAGCCTTATGAGTTCTGGGATTATAGGCATGTGTCACCATGCCTGGGCTCTAGGTCTCTTCTTTCCCAGTTTGTGTTCTTGGTTTAGTGGAGCACTTTTCTCTAGTCACTTCCCAACAAGGGATGCATAGGAAGGTAAGTCACTAGACCCTGGCTGTCTGAAAGTGCCTTTGCTTAATAACTTCCCTTACTCCTAATTGGTGGGTATCCTACCCATGGAGGTCTAGGTTCGAGTCCATCTTCTCTCCCAATTTTGCAGACATTGTTATTGCCTTCTAGGTTCTGATGCTGTTAAGAGTCTAAAGTCGGGGCTGGGGATTTAGCTCAGTGGCACAGCGCCTGCCTGGCAAGCGCAAGGTCGTTAGTTTGATTCCCGGTACCAGAAAAAAACAAAAAACAAAAAACAAAAAACAAAAAAAGAGTCTAAAGTCATTCTGAGTCCTGATCCTTTGGATCTGGCCTATTTTTACTCTCTTAGAGCTGATAGAGTCTCTCTCTGTATCTTCACTGTTCCATAATTTCATAATAATGTGCTTGATCTGGACCTATTTTTGTCCACTTTCTTGGGCATTAAGTTAGCCATTTCACTTTGGAAATGTATCTCCTTTAGTTCTGGAACCTTTTTTTGAATGCTACATTAGATCAGCAGTTCTCCAAGTGTGATCTGCTAACCCAGGGAAATCCTGAGACTAGACCTTTCCAGGGGCTCTGTGAGGTCAAAACTATTTATTTATAATAAATCTTATTGTGTATACAACATGATATTACAAGATGGATATACATGGTAAAATGGTTACTACAGTGAAAACAAATTAACACATCTATCATCTCACATAACTACCCCCATGCACACAATAGCAGTTATAATCTACCCATTTGGCAAAAATCCTTAATATAAGCTGGGCGTGATGGTGCACATCTATAATCCCAGCACTTGGAAGGCTAAGGCAGGATTGCCTTGTGTTCAAGGCCAACCTGGGGTACATAGTGAGCTCAAAGCCATCCTGAGTTACATAGTGAGACCCTGTCTCAAAAAACCAAAAAAAAAAAAATCTCGAATACAATCCACTATTATTAATTATGGTCCTCATGTTGTACTTTAGATCTCTAGACTTGTTCATCCTTCACGTATTTGCTCCTTTGTATCCTTTTACCTTCCTCTTCCCATCTCCTGCCCTATCTACGCCCTAGCCCTTGGTGACCACTGTTATTTTCTATCTCTATGTATTTGTCTTTTGTTTTCATATTCTACATATAAATACTATACGATCATGCACTATTTTTCTGTCTGGCTCATTTCACTTAGCATCATGTCCTCCAGGTCCATGAATATTGTGACAAATGGCAGGCTCTTCTCTTTTGGACAGTAGGGGTCTGGGGAATGTGTATCAGTGGAACCACCCTATCTGTGGGCTCAACCCCAGAACCATACACAAAAAACAATATTTTTCTTGTAAGGCTGAATAATATTCTATTTCTCTCTCTCTCTCTCTCTCTCTCTCTCTCTGTCTGTCTCTGTCACACACACACACACACACACACACACACACACCTAGGCTGTTTCTATATCTTGGCTCTTGTGAATAGTGCTTCAGTAAATGTAGGAATACCAAGATCTTTATGGAGTTGATGATTTCATTTTCCTTGAGTTTCCACCCAGAAGAGGGATGACTGGGTCATATGTTAATGTATTTTTAATTTCTTTAGGTGCCTCCATACTATTTTCCATAATGGCAGCTCCAGTCCACATTCCCACCAAGTTCCCTTCTCTTCCATACCTGCCGCTGTCCCTTGTTATTGCCAATACACCCCATGCCATACCTGAGCACTTCCTCACTTTTCTTTCTTTCAGGGATCACTGACCCCTCAGGTACCATGGCCCTGGGTTAGGTCTACACCAGCAGACTTAGAGTCTCATTCTCTCATCCTTTGTGCTAGGGCCTATCCTCATCTTTCCATATCCTTGCTGAGAAATCACATCCTGTCCCTCTCAAACTGACAACTGACACCAGGAAAAACTTCATTTTTTCAAATCTGTCTTTTTTCCTTGCAGTATTCAGTAAGGTAACCATCCAAACTGTGCATACCTCACGTTCATATATCAAGTGCATCTTGAATGAATCCCAGAGTGCTATGTTGTTCAGTTTTGCCACTGTGTTCCCCATTTAGGGATATGAGGCTCAGCAACCAAAAACAATTAGAAAGCAACTCCTTGGCTTGGCGATCTACCTCAGTGGTAGTGTGCTTGGTAAGCATGCATGAGGCCCGAGATACTGGAGATTGAACCAAGGGCCTTTGCTCTGGGCTACATCCCCAGCTCTATTTTATTTCTTTTATTTTGAGCCAGGGTTTCACTAAATTGCCCAGGCTGGACTCAGAAAGAGGGTCCCTGCTGGTCACTTGTTGCTTGCTGCTTCTTTGCTACTTCACTGCTTTGCTGCCTTCTGCTTGTCATGAGCTGTTTCTCCTCTGTGTTGCCCCTCTGCTATGTCACCCTGTCTTGGAGCCACCTTACTATAGACTGAAACCTCTATAAACTGTGAGCCAAAACAAACCTTTCCTCCTTTAACTTTAGGTGTTGGATAGTTTGTCTTAGCAATGAGAAAAATAACTGTATTGGTTTAGGGGATATTTTGCAAGGGGAAACAATATAATACAGGACACATACTATAAGATTGTTTATACTAGTCACCCAAAGAATGATATACAAGAGAGTGCAGGAAATCTGTCCACACACTAAGACCAAGGAGTCTAGCTGAGGGCCTGGATCCCATGGAATTGTCCTGCATGAGCCCAGCTGAAGACCTAGAGCTCATAACAATGCCCCCAACAAGTCTATCTAGAGCCCATAACAATATCTCATGCAGGCCTGTTTCATGGATCTGCACTGGGAAGGCCCAAAGGCCAGTGGTGGAAGCTAGAAAGTGTGTGCCCTTAGGATAAAGTATCTGTGCTAGCAGGCTGAGGGATCTGCTGTGGAGCCAGGAAGCGACTCGCAAAGTAAGAATCAGAGCTCCCCTGAAAAGTACCACAGCCATCCTCAGCAACAGTGAGGTCCCGAGGTCCTCCAGTGGTGAAGATGGTTGAGTTCCCATCAGGAAAGCCAATGCAGCAAGCTTCTCCATCTTCCCCTATGGAGCCAGGAATTGAAACTCAAAGTGAGGACCAGAGCTTCTCCAAAGTGAACTGAAGCCATTCTCAGTGCCAACAAGGTCCCGAGCTCCTCAGAGGAGGAAAACAGCCAAGTTCATCAGGAAAGCCAGCATGAAAAGCTCCTCTAAAGGAACCAACAGCTCCTTACAGCTTCTACCAACTCCCAGCGGCCTTTCTCTGCTCCCCACAGCCTAATTTCTCCAGTTCTGCCTCTTGTGCTGCTGGCAACAATCCTCAGGTGGGCCTCCCACACCCAGCACCATGCTTCCTCAGTTCAGCTGGGGGCTATGAGTGACCACCAGTTGTCAATCCACCACAGTAACTAAGACAGCGATCAAACCCAGGAGTGCTCTACCACTGAACTACATCCTAATACCTTTTATTTTGAGACAGTCTCACTAAGTTGCTGGGATTATAGGCATGTGGCACCACACCCAGCTAGTGCAGGAATTTTTAAAAAAAATCAAAACCCAGAGGCCAAAGAGAGAATAGTTAAAAGTTATGGATAATGGAATGAAAAACTTCTATCTTTTGTTCTTTTTTTTTCTATCTCTTGTTCTTATGAACTTTGTATTATATGCAGTCACGCACCACATAATACTGTTTTTGTCAATAATGGACAAAATATATGACAGTAGTCCCATAAGATTAGAGTGGAGCTAAAAAATTCCTATCCCCTAGTGACATTCTAACTATCATAATGTCCCAGCATGCAACATTTTCCCAACAGCTCACATTTTTCCAAGGAGGCTGATGTAAACAAAACTACTGAGCTGCCAGTCATATAAAGTTCAGCACATAAAAGTATTTACAGTGCAAAATACTTGATGATGATAACTATATTACTGATTTATGCATGTACAATGCTATACTTTTTATCATTACTTCAGAGTATATTCCTCCTACTGAAAAAGCTGACGATAAAGCAGTGTGCCATGTTAAGGCAACAGCATCATACATCCTGTTTCTACCATTTCTTGTGATTGCATCAAGGGCCTTGCCATTGACTGCCTCACATAATCTAGGCTGATGAGTACATTCAGTTTATGTTTGCATGATGACAAAGTCGCCTCGTAGCGCACTTCTTAGACTATGTCCTGTTGTTAAGCAACATATAACTATCTACAGATTTAGCTTCTCTGATATTGTTTGCTCATCACTATTCTGTCTACTTGCCAGATTTTCTATAACAAAGGAAAAAAAGAAATTAGCCCCCAAAATAAAAATTCATACCCCTTGGGAATATTAATAATTTTGTCTCTATTATACAAAATTGAATTGACATCCACACCCATCTTTTACATGACAGAAATAGCCCTTTGCACATGGTCCATGAGGGTTGGACCATGCCTATTAGATTGTTCATTTTCAGATTCTTCAGCACAAGTGTGTGGGATAAGCAGCCCTTAGCTCCAGATCAGAGGCTCAGGAAGGCTTGGAAAAGATGGGTAGCTGTTTCCTTTGCTTTTCCCCCAGCTCCCAGGGACGGAGAAGCAGCAAGCGGTGAGGTGCTGTATAAAGGATGGCTGGGAGCTTGGAGGGATTTGGGAAAGTCTTCAGTGACTCAGAGCTGCTGGGATGTGCCCTGGGGTTGGGTAGGAAGTTTCCTCCTGAATACTGTTTTGTTATGTTTTGATTTTTGAGTCAGGGTCTTACTATGTAGTTTAGGTTGGCTTTGAACTTGCTGTGTAGCCCAGGCTGGCCTCAAACTCAGAGCCATCTTCCTGCCTCAGCCTCCTGAGTGCTGGGATTAGAGGCATGCATCACCATGCCTGGCCCTGAGCACTGTATTGAGCAGCTGAGTCCTGAGTAGAGAGGCAGCCTGGTAAAGGATTGTGTGTTAGTTATTTTTCTCTCATTGCTGAGACAAAATACCTGACCCAAAGTTAAGGAAGGAAAGGTTTATTTAGCTCACAGTTTGTAGAGGTTTCAGTCCATAATCACCTGGATCCAAGGCAGGGCGACATGGCAGAGGGGCAGCAGTTCGTGGCGGTGGAAGACAGCAAAAGCAGCAAGAGCAAAAGAGGCTCCCTTACATTGTATGTAGGCTACCCACCTAGGCTAGGTGTAGCATTTACACTCCCAGCACTAGATAGTGAACCAATCACAAACTCTTAGATTCAGCTGCTGCTGAAGAGCCCCCCCTTCATGTGAATGAGACTTTGGGGGCACATCCAGACACAAACCATAACAGATTGAGTCCAAGCGCTGGCATCAGGCTATGGGAAGAGCATCCGCCATGGAGATTTCCCCCAACTTAGTACATCACACCTGCATCAGTCCTGATAATCTGCTGTTGCAGACTCGACTTGCTAAATTAGTTAGGGGTTGAGAAAGAAAGAGACCATATAACAGTTCTTTTTTGGGGGGTGTGGGACTCAAAGCTAGGGCCTCGCGCTTGCCAGGAAGGTGCTGCAGTGCTGAGCTCTGTGAGCTCCTTTCCCACTATCAGAGCTGGGTTTGGGTGAAAACTTATACTGTGCCCTACAGACACTGCCTGGCTCTTTGCCACAACCCTGCAGGTGTCTCACAGGTTCCAACCAACCCAGTTTCCTTTAGTTTCTTGCTTTTGCTTTGCTAGTTGCCCAGATTCTTCATAAGAAATGGAGAAAACAGGAACTAGCTCATCAAATAAAAATTGAAGGAGCTTCTAGGAAAGGTCTGAAGCCTTGGGTCCCAGGGGTTCTAACTGGAGGAATGCCTTGAGCCCTACCCTGTGTGCAGCTCTGAGCCCAGCAGTGGACCTACAGCCAGGCAAGGTATCTTCTTGGCCTGCAGAAGGATAACTTCTTGTCTCCCTGATGCCACTCTGCTGTTTCCTTTAGCTCCGCCTGGAGTGGAACGTTCACCTGAACATCCCTGTGGTCATCTCAAAGCCGAAGAAATGCAAGTCACCACCAGCCTTACTCCGGCGGATCTACTCCAGCAGCCCCACCTGCAAGCAGTCTTTTCCACCCAGGCATCGGGAATGTGTGCCTCTCTGGACAACCAGGTAAGTGCAGAGAAGCTGAGAGGCAGGCTTCTGGATAGGTGGGAGGCAGGAAGCACAGACAGACAAAGATCTCTCCATGGGTTGCCAGGTCCCTGCCCAACCCTGATGCAGGGACCCAGGCTGGGGTGTGTGTGGCAGTATGCGGGCTGCAGGGGATTAGCCTGAATATTTCAAACTATGCTGCTGAAAGACTCTGAGGGGCCACAGCCAAATCTTAAGCATTTCTACCCTGAGCATCAACCTGGCAGCTGCCGTTGGTTTGTCCATATAGATAAGCCTGATCCTTTCCACCGTGTGAACCCCACATTCAAAGGAATTGCGAGCTTCTGGACAGCCACGCAGACCCACACCCACACCCACTGCAGCATGGGCTGGCTCAGGACCTCAGCCTGAGGGGATGTGCCTGGAAGTGCAGGTTACTCGAGAGCCTCTTCCAGTAGTTTCTCAGCCGGAAGTGCTCCAGAGAAGTGGGCAAGCTGGGGAGGGGACAGGTGACAAACTCTTATTTGAGTGTCATGGGGCTTATGGTCCTGGAGAGCTTGTGGCTTCTCAGTCTAACCCTTGGTATCTTTTGGCATTCTCTGTACCTTCTACCTCCAGCCAACAGGGGACCCAGACAGAGGCCATCTGGAAGACTGATGTGGCCTCTTCTAGTCACCCAGTAGAAAAAAAGACCCCTGTCAGCCTGTCCTGGGACCAGCTAGGGGGATACCCAGATATGCCCAGGCTGTTAGCAATGGAAGAACATTCTTCCTACCATGGAAACTTGACGTCCCTCAAGGTCTGGTAAGGTGCAAGGCCAGGTGCTTAACCTGGCTTTAGGGAGGCCTATCCACCAAGGCGAGCACACTGTCCCTCTCCAACAGCCCAAGAAGTCTCCCCAGTCATTAGCAATGACCTCAGTTATTGCATCTTTCAAGACAAGAGATGCTAACCCGACTCATCCATTCACTGGCTGTCAGCTTGGGTCCCAGGCCAACACCACTTCAGCTTTCTCAAAGGACTTTCCACAGTGCTGAGGGTACCACAGGGCTTCTGGCTTCACACCCATCTCCTGGGCTGCACACGAATTTTTGAAGTCTGTTTAGCCCTTGCGAGAGCCAGACAGAGGAATGGAGACATGGAGGGAGGTCATGAATCATGAGATATACCTGCCAGGCGTGGTGGCACATGCCTGTAATCCCAGCACTCAGGAGGCTGAGGCAGGAGGATTGTTGCGAATTCGAGACCAGTTTGAGCTACAAAGTGAGCTCAAGGCCAGCCTGAACTGCATAGCGAGACCCTGTCTCAAAAAGACCCAAAAATATATATATACCTGAGACGTGGACCTGGGCCTATCTTTCTGGTTTTCATTTATAAACTTCAAGAACTGTTTTTGTGAGCAGCAGCTGAAGAAAGGGCCATGGCACTTATTAGATCAGCAGGAGGTTTTTCTGCTTCAAACAGGTTCAGCTCTCCTTTGCCTTTATTGGCTGAAAAATGTCACTATTGAAGACCAAGGCTCTTTCAAGGGATATTTCCTTTCTTCGTTCCTTCCTTTCTTCCTTCCTTTTTTTGTTTTCGTTTAATTGAAGCCAACACCTTCACACTGAACTACATCTCCAGCCCTATTCATTTATTTATGACTGTGGTAATGGAGATTGAACTCAGGGTTTCTGTGTGGAGCCACATCCCTAGCCCTTTTTAAATCTGAGATAGGGTCTTACTAAGTTGCTTCAAATGGGCTCAAACTTGCAATCCTCCTGCCTCAACCTCCCAGAGTGCTGGGATTGCAGGCATGTGCCACCACACCCAGGTTCAAGGAAACTTTCCAGGTCTCTTTCTGCTTTTTATGGCCCTGATCCTGACTCAATTATTAAATATCTCTGACAGAGACAGGTATCTGATGGCTGCCAGTCTAACCCAACCAGAAGCAACAGCTGTAAGATGCTAGTGCTGCTCCACCCTCCCAGTGGAGACATGGGTGAGACAGGCTGTCAGGGCAGCACCAGAGAAGGCCAGGCCCTGGCTGCACCTCCATCTGAAATGGGCCTGAACACCTGGCTGGACACAGGATGATAGCCCACCTAGTGCCAATAGCCTTCCGAGAAGGAATGCGTATGTGGTGTTAGTTAATTTGAATATAACTATCAGAATTGGGGAGACTAGAAAACACGCCAGGAGAGCTTGAGAACCCAGTGGATGGAGGCTGAACCCCACTGTGGTCTTCCCTTGTGGCGTCCCTCTCCGTAAGCTCCTCCTTGCGTCTCTTGCCTGCAGTCCTGCTCAGCCCCCATCAGAGTGTGGGGTCACCTCTTTGTTCTTCCTCCCATACAGAAATGTGTGCATACATTTCCCGGTAAACACTCCACTTGTCCTCAAGCACTCACAGCATCAGCATCTTCCCGAAAATGTAAGGGGATGGTGGAGAAAGGGGCTCCCATTGCATAGATCGAACACCAACCTCCTTACTTCCCTTCTTTTACTGCCTGCTTCCTTTGGTGTAACGTGCAAAATTCTAAGATTCCTGCACGTCTCAAACAGAGCTGTTCCACCCACACCCAGGCCTCACTGAAATCTCAGCTACAAGTTGAAGCACTTATCAAAATATTGTTCCCAGCCCAGACAGCTTCCTCTTTATACAGGAATTTAGTTGAATATAATTTTCTTTACCCCTTTTCCACCTCTGTACAAGTTTACTCAGTTTATCACACTATAAGGTATGGAGACGGCCCTTCTTCCTCTTCTTTTTTTCTTT